CCAATTGGTAAGCATTATAAAAATCACAGTTATAGCTTACAAAGTTTATAGCACACTGACTACAGCAAACTAATAATAGATACTCCTCTTTTGGCACGTCACATTAGATGTACTTATAAGCGTGGAAAGGTTTTCTAGAAAATTCAGATTACATAACAACACTTATAAGCGTGGAAAGGTTTTCTAGAAAATTCAGATTACATAACAACACTGAGTTACATTTAAGCATTTATGTATATACATATATTGTTGATTCTTACTTTCGAGAATCTTCTACAACTTTGGAGAATAGGTGGGAGTTTCACAATACATATATAACACTATAAGCTACGCATGTTTTAAAATATAAACTTAATCTAAACAAACGTTGATATCAAAATTAATATATAATAACAAATTCGTTACAGAGTCCATCAATTTTGACGATGCAAAAGAAGCTAAAGTTTGTTTAATTAACTTTATTTTATTACTTTAATCATGCTTCAAAGTATAGCTGAAGAGTTACTATTGGCTTGTAACAAAAATGAATAAGATGGATTTAGTTACATTCTAAAATCCTATTCTTTTGGTTTATGATTGCTGTATAAGGTTGAAAACATGTAGAAATTAATATTACACATTATTTTTTATTTTTCTAGATGACTGGCTTGCTTCAGAGATTGATCTAGATGGTGAGACTGCTGAACCACTTTTTTTTGCAGAGAATATTTCACCATTCTACAGGTCAACATGTTCATTTTATAGAAAATCCAGATCTAGGAAGGCAAACCGTAAAAATCTTAATGACATTGTTAATGCTCAGAGTATTGAAAATAATGATTATGTCAAGTCAAATGAACAGTATCCTAGTCATGAAAACGTTTCTGTTGCTTGTAGTCAGACAGTATCAGAATTGCCTCTCAGTGGTTCTAAGGATTCCTTAGGTATGAACTCGGCTCCACAACCTCCACCTCGTAAACATTCTCCTTTGTTTTGGTCTTCAAGTCCAAAAAGTTACAAAGCTGAAAGACCTGTTAACCAAACACCATTTGAAATGTGTGAAGAAGACATAAATAAACAAGAAGTCAGCTCTATCCCAGACATAAAAAACACATGCTTATCGGTATCTGCTACCAGTGTAGCAGAACAGAATGTTCTGACAGCAGCAATGAATTATCAGCAACAAGATACTCTGCCAGACCCTCAGATGTTAGAAACTTTGTCAGATTCTTCATCTTACTTGCAAAGTTTATCTAGCTCACAGCTCCAATTATCAAAAATGGAAAACAAGTATCAACAAACAGATTTAATTCCAAACCAACACACAGAACCGACCAGCCAGAAAGGCTTTGAGCATGAGCAGGAAAAAGAGGAATTCCTGGAAGATCAGCTCCTGACAAATAACTTTATTGACTCCAGTTTCAGAAACAGGGAAATCTTGGGTGAGTTACCTGTGAAAATTTTATACTATTTTCCCAGAAGTCTATCACTATTTGAAGTTTATAAATTTCTAAAGTATACTTGCTTAAAGGAAATATATTTCTTATAAATTCTTAACTCTCCTTAAGAAGAAGAAAATAAACAGTCAACAAGATTAAGATAAACTCTGACAATTTAAACATAAAACTTTTCCTTTAGTTTAGCTTTTACTGTAGTATTTGGTCTTTACTACATATTTATGCACTCGGTACTGCTTGTTAGCTTGGAGTTTGAAAACAATAGGTAAAAGTATCGATAAACTGTGATAGATCAAAACAACAAAAGTCTGAACTGGCTGTTAAAATGTTTAAAGCTTACCTAATAGTTTTTTTATCAGTCATAAAAAAATATCTATGTGTGTGCATATAAGTTAATCAAAACTACTTTTTAAACCTTAGAAATGTAATATTTTTTTAACTGTTGGCATTTCAGTGTATAGTTAGCTGTTAACTATATTTAGCATTTAGATATCTGGGTGCCATGAGTAATGTACAGCTCAACATACAGTTATTGGATCCAGCAAGGAGTTCACATCAAATACAACTTAGTAAACTCGTACATAATGAAAATTATGCATATATTCAATTAGAGTGTAACCAAAAACATTAAGTTCAAATTGCAATAAGCCACATTTTGCTTAACTAACAACCCATATCATGCAACCACTAAAACAAAACAACCATTGATAGTGGATTACAGCAGCACATCATAAATTAACAACAATCTAAGTTTTAAAAAAATCTATGGATAAACAAGGTTCTTACCATCCTTAGTAAAAAGTGTTGCGTATCTTCAAACCATCCAATTTTGTCTTTATATGGTAAAAGGTTTTTTTTAATAAATTTGATAAATTATGTGGGGCATTCCAATATCATGGCTGTCCACATAATGCCCTATTCAAATGGCAAATGAAAACTACCGACCCAGATCCCAACTAAACATCAACCTGGTAATGATTATAGCTGATTCTATATCATTTTTGTAAATTTTTGCTTATAAAGATTAGAAAGCATTGTTAAGGGTGATTTTTATCATAAACATGAAGTCATAAAACTAAGATGAATATTTTTATGACTAATCTGCATTTTGTAAAGTAAGTATGGGTTTCTTTCCTTTTTCTTCCAAATAAAACTGCTCAATTATAGATTCACTGCATTGGGACATTCATCCTTATCTTATCTCACAATATATCATATTTATGCTTACAGTAGTATAGTAGCAGAAACACCAGAATTACAACACTTAAACATCTAATGAATTGTAAGACTAGTTGCTGTTTACCTAATTTTGTGTACTTTTCTGTAATTGTGAGGCCTTTAAATAGGTAAAACCATATTTACTGTTGAAATTTAAAAAAACAAAAACAACAGGCCAAAACTTATTAGTAAAGATAATATTTTCCATGGAATGACTTATATACTTTAAAGCTAGTTTACAGAAAAAAACAAATATTACAGTTCTTGAAAAAGAGTTTCAGTGTATAAATCAGTGCAACATTTTCTTTTTAATTTGCACTTACGATGCGCTATGATACATCCTGAAATAATAATGTGATTATGTAATGTCGCTAAGCTTCTATTACGTATTGGTTATGTATTGTCTACTTTTTCTACACCTCAGGATGAAAAATAAAATTTTTTTTTCTTTCTTTTATCATTTTTATGTTTCTTTGGAGTTTATTTGGTGTATTTATTGTGGATTAGTTTCTTGTGTACATAGTTTGATATTTTCTTTTCATTTGAAGAGTATTTTCAGGATTATTTTAAGCCCTGTACATGACTTTATACTGTGTAAGTCCTTTTTATGACATAAAAAGCTTCAAACAGATGACTGGGAAAGGAGAAACAAAGTTTTTAAAAGCTAAATCAAGTAGTAAATGTTTCCAAAAATAATACCATAGTAATTTTAAAATTTCACTGCCACACATTGTTTGGTGTTGTTATGCTTTCTGACAACATATTGAAAATCTTGTTTCAATCAATATATGCCTGCACAGAATTACTTAATAATTTATTACTTGAATTATTTTGAAAGCATTGCGAAGCAGAATTTTAGTATAACTTTTGATTCTTTTTTTTTATTTCTGGTTGATTAACATTATGCTATCTTAAATTGTGTTATCAATTGCCATTACTGTCTTTAACAGGGTTATCAGTTCTTGATAAAAAGATAAACTTACCTGGCAGTAGGTACTCACTGGCATCTCTTCCTGTGCCCATGTCAAAAAATATATCTCGAACATGGTTCGTATTATTACTTTTATGAACTAAGTTAAAATTTAACTTGCTTTGTCCAAACCTTTAACTAAAGGCTTATGGAAATTAAAATTCTTCTACTGTTTTTAATTATCTCCTAATTTTTGTTTTCTTACTTTTATGTAGAAAATTATTCACTTCAAATTTTTTATATCATGTTTTTATCTTTGTAACAAAATGCAGAAATGTAGAAAAACAATATATAAAAAAACTTTTTTTTAAATAAATTTTATTATTCATTTCATAAATTTTGTGTATTCTGATCTTAGGTCTCTGTCAAAAGGAGCTCAGAATGTTCTGGCTCGACAGCTTAATTCTGTAGACTCACAACTAAGTGATCAGAAAAGCATAACTTGTGACGAAACACCACAGCAGGAATTAGATGACTCTATGAGAAAGTATGAAAGAAGACGTTTTACTACTATAACTTGTGTTGAAGATAATAGCTCACAAGCCCCTGCAGTATCCTTGTTGTCTTCTTCACTCAACTTATTATCACCAAAACTCAGATCTAGCAAGAATTTAATGACAGAAAAAAAAGGAGATTTTCAAGAGACGGAGAGAGCTAGTAGTCCCAGTAACCAGTTACACTTTGTTTAGTATTGGCTGAAGTACTTTAACACATATGTAGAATTTTCAAAACTTTCTCTGTTAAAAAAACATTACAGAAAGTTTGAAACCACAGGTTATGTGAACTTAATTAAGGGTCTATTTTGTCTTGTTAAATAATATAGTCATGGGTTAAAATTACTAAAGATTGTTGTATGTTATGCGAAGTTTTGTTTCATTAAGGCATACCTGTTGTGAAAGAAAAATTATGTATTTTAGCAATTTCATCAAAATCAAAGTGGAAATCATCTCTGATATGGACTTGAACATGGGGATCCCAACTGAACAAGCTTGCGGTCTTTCAAATGTGTTACAATGTATTCAAGTTCTGTACAGACATCTGTTATCCCTGGTCATCAGACTATCAGAATAGACTTTTATTTGTTTGAACCAAAGACTTACATGAAGGATTTGTTATTCATCAACAAAAGACATTTACATGATATATGAATGTTGGTTATTTAAAAACAAACTAAGAATATTGCATGACTAGAACTGCTGTTTATTTGAAAAGTATAAAAGTTTTTGATCAAAAATGCTGCCTACTACACGAGAAACATTTTTGGTTCAACTGAAGAGAGAGAGCGTGGTAAGATTTTTAATGTTATACAAAGCTCAACTTTTTCACGGGATGCTCATTTGGAAAAGACGTGGCACAGGTCAAAGAAACTAAAGTTGATGAGTATAGACTTGTATAAAATACTAACTAATCTGAAGAAGACCATTTTTTTCTGCTAATATATTTTTGAACTTTGTTTAGAACAATCAAATTCGACTTAACTGAGGTCATGCAATCAGGAACAGTTTTTCATAATGTTTATTTCAGTTAAGCTGTTATTCTCAAGGCTATAAAACAGAAATAACACATTGGCATAATCTTCATATTAAAAACCTAAATATGCTGGAATTGAGATAATTTAAGATGATGAATATTTTTGCTTCTGGGAACTTTTTATTAGACTTATCATCAACATTTTTTTTAAATATAGTTTCTTTCTGAAAAAATTTGGGTAGTAACCATTTTTTGTTTACCAAACTTCTGTTGTTTAACCATCTATGATCAAAATGTAATGGATAAAAATCTTAAAGAGTTACAGTACTAGTTTGTTAGGATATTAGAATCTCTGTTAGTTTTATTACAGCATGTTATACATTGGTTGAATATATTGATGGCATTATTTTAGTTTAACTGCTTTGTAGATTTTTTATAAACAAAAACTTTAAAAATGAATTATATTTAACCTACTGAAACTTAAAATATTAATCTTTATTTGTAAAAACATCCTAACTTGGACTAACAAACATATAAGTATGGGCAGACTGGCACATTTTTAGCAGCTGGAAAATCACTTGGTGATTGACCCATATTCCATTGAAGTCAGCCCGAATCACACTGAGGTGAGTAAAGGGGGTTATGTTAATAATACTTACAGTTTACTGATAATTGTTAATTTGTCATATTAACGAAATTAAGCTCTTGAGTTAACTGTATTAGAAGGCCTCATTTCTGACATTGTGGACAAGCACAGGGAGAAATTTCCTGGTGATATCCATGACTAGTCTTGTTCTATTTGTAATTGTTCTCATTTCCTTAATAGTTTCTTTTTGATTATCTTCATGAAGTGATGTATTGTCTTAATGAATATATTTGACCCACTAATCAGAATTGAAATTGCTCTAATCCAGACTTATCTTTCTTTTTAATGTATGGATATTTGAATTTCATTTTTTAATCTTATAATCCACTGTCATCATCTTCTTAGGTTTTTTTTTTTCATAATCTCCGCTTACAATTTTCTGAAGACATAATTTAATTCGTGAGTTTTTCTTCTTTTTAATATTGTACTCCCAGAATGCTTTTATTCATGTGTTTATTATTGTAATCTGTACCCTTAGTATCCTTAGCCAAATTCTTCTTTTTGTACCTACTACAATGGATTTGTTGTTGTAGTATACAACTACATCTTGATCCTTCATTCAGGTTGTTTTTAGTGTTAAGACAGTTTTCTCTTCTTATAAATTCCTTCATCATCCTAATCTTATTCTTTATTTCTATAATCCTCCCATTTCAATATTGTATTTGTATTATTTTCATGAACTAACAACTGTCTAATAAAGGTTTTGCTCTGTTAATATATGAATAACAAGCCAAACAACTTATCACGACAATCTATCTACTGGTGGCAGAATGCTAAAGTAAGCTTATCAATTCACACTCACCCAAATAAGGCCCAAAAAGATAAAGGCTATTTCTTAGTTGTCACTAACGTTTTGACGTAGATAAACTGATTTTGTTCTACTTCCCTTGCATTTTTGTTAGTAAAATATAAAAGATTGGCATACAAATGAAAAAAAAAAAGAGTTTCTTCTGAATAGTTTTGCTATATTTTCAAAGACTTTTGGGCATCTTGAGAAAAGATATGTTGATTGGCTAGGTTTCTAAACCCTTCACTGGTAATGCTGGCCGTTGTTTAGTTTTATGAGATACTAGTTAACACATTAAAATGTCTTTAACCCAGTTGGACCCATCAGAGACTACTTCACGTTCTTTACTTGAAACACTTTTAGTGCATTTTAATCTTTATGTTTACGGTATATCTTACTTAGCGACATCTACACTATCATTGTATTTAGTCTAAATGTTTAATACACATAAAATATAGATACTATAAAATAAAATACTATGTAGATAAATATAACGTTTTAGTAGATTAGAAATGTATCATACACTCATGACGCACCCATAAGTAACCAAGTTTTGGTTACTGGGAAATGTACGTAGTCATGTATATTAAGAGATTTTTATTTCTCATTTAAGTAAAGTTTGTTGAACTGCAGGTAAGGATATTTTACTTTAAATACCTAGTATTTCTTTTAACATCAATTAATTTTGTTGATATTTTAAAAATGGTAGTTTTAAGCAGATGAAGTTCAGTGATGTCTTCCCGTTAATGTATTTTATACATACAACAATGCTTGTACTCCAAAAGGTATTGAAGCTCTTGATAATTGGTTAATATGTAGAGTAAAATTTAGACATGCTTGGATTCGTACAACATTCAATGCAAATACGTTTTGGAGCATTATAGAATCTTGTATCACTATGGAAACGACCCCAATTGTCGCTACTGTTCTTATGTAGTTATACTGTTCCTGTGGTAAATGTTTAAGAATCGCAGTTCAAGGCAAATATAATCTTGAACGAAGACAGAATTAAACAGTTAATCACTTTCCTTTCCTAACAGTTCTAAATTTAACCATTGAATTGTTCTTATATGTAACTTGCAATATTATTAACATGTCATCATCAAACCTATGTATTAATATCTAAAGTATTAATAATTTGACAGATTAACCTGCTGGTTTACGGGTCTAATCTGTGTGTGGACAGATATCGATATCTGAAGTAACACTGGTTGTTTTAGAAGTGGGAGTTATGTAATATTTTAACCGATATTTACAGTTTATGGCATGCATATGTATACTCGTCTAGGTTTAGCTAGTCTTAACGACCAACATTTCTCAATCTTAGTTATTGTTAAAAACTGTATATAAGCTAATATATATATATACATACGCTTTGTATACTTGTATTTCCAAGCATAACACAAACAGCTGTAGCACAAGAAATATGTTTTATAATATGTCTTAACAAAATGTATATTATTCAAAATAAACATTTTAAACAAAGATTGTTCAAATTTAGTTACATTTTACTTTCATTTGTATACTTAGCTCCCAGTGCTACAGCGGTATGTCTGCGGACATACAACGCTGGAATCCTGGTTTCGATACCCGTTGTGGGCAGAACACAGATAGCCCATTGTGTAGCTTTGTGCTTAATTACCAAACAAACAATTTGTATACTTAAACTGATGTCCATCGCGGTAAGTCTACGGACTTACAACGCTCAATTCCCAGCGGTGGACATAGCTTTGCTTTAATAAACACAAATAAACTTAAACTGATTAATGATTATAATGAAGGTAATTTGATGAAGTTAAAAAAATCCTCATTAGCCAGTACTTAAACTTTTTTTGTCACATTTTCATTTTGTCACATTATCGGTTTCAAGTAAGTATACACACAGTAACTCTGTGAAAGGAATAATATTAGCTTTAAAATGATACGCTGGTTGTGTTAGGTTATATTAGAAAACGATTTTCTTCTTATATTATAGAGTACCCCGGTGGGACAGTGGTAAGTCTACGGACTTAGAACGCTAAAATTTTAGGTTCGATTCCCCGCTGTAGATACAGCAGATAGTCTACTGTGGCTTGACTCAAAAAAAAATAACAATAATGAAACAAAAACAAGTATTATGTTAAAGAAAGTTGTTTACAGTATTGTAAATATAGTCATGTAACACAAACAAAATTTTCTTCCAACCGTACAACTAACAGCGGCTAAAATGAAGGTGATCGATAAATCATCTAAAAATAAGACTGAGTATTACCCAGTATCAGCATACTATTTCACATTGAGTGACAACTTTTTAGACCTCAAGTTTTTGGGCTGTAAGTAAGCT